TGAAACGACGTAGCACAACTTCCTTTTTGCTTGCTATCTTATTAATATTATAACAGTTATTAACAACAATAATTAACATTTTTAGTAATAAGAATGACTAAAAATGATGTCTAAAAATCAGTATACGTTTTTCTGTTTGTATTTGAAGAAACTGATGAAAGAATAATAAATATTGTTTATTGCTGACGATTTTTGTAATTCAGCGATACAAAATAAAAACTCTTTATTTAGCATTTGATATGTTAAGAGAATGTCTACATAAGACGCGGAATTTGTAATAGCCCAATCAAATCTAATGCTCTTACAACGTCATATAGTTGTTTACTTTTCAAGAACGAATATTCTCTTTATTTTTAGAAATATATCACCAATTTGGGGATTCCATTAAGGCTACGAAACTATAACTTTTTTAAATGTATAATTCTATGATATATATCGGAAAAGATAGTACGAATTAAATTTCTGCTAGGTGTGTTTAATTTTTAAAAATTTTTAAATTGTTTTTAAAGCATATTTGCATAATTTGATAGCGAAATGAAACGGAACTATATGCAGTTGCTGATGATTACATAAATCCCATACCGCAATGAGATTCAGGTAATCATTCGCGACTTGCATTTTCGAACTTGCATTGGAGGATTGAAACAAATATACTGGCTAACGTAAATTATCGAAAATAGAAGGCCCTCTAGCACGAAAACGGTTAATTCAATCGATGTGAATAATTGATATTTTACGGTATGTTATATAGTGTTTGAGTCATATTTATTTCTGTACGATTATATCAGTCGCACGAATAAATCTTAATATTTTACTGTTTTGAAGTTGAGTTTTTCTGCGTTATTTGAAACAAAATTATTGAATTACGATTGTATTGTGCGAATTTATGCTATTTTTTATAGAATATTATCATTGCATGCATTTATGTAGAAATAAAAAAATTTCTAATTAACTTTACGTCTTTTATTTTAAAATTTAGTTCTGTATTGCGTAAAAAATATTTATTTCATATTTTTATTTACTCCTTTATATTTCTATACTTTCATATAATAAATTCTAATGTAAAAAGAGAAAAAAATTTACAGTAATAATGCGTTTCCGAATTCATTCTTTCATACTTTAAAAGGATTGATGGTTGCATTTCATCCATGTAAAAAAGTATTAAATTCAAGATTGAAATAAATATATGAACAAGAAAAATTATGAGAAATTTAAATATTTGAGTTAAATCGTAATTTGCTCTTAATTGTATTTTTGTCTTTATTAACAAGCGTTATTTAGAACAATTAGCATCTAAGCATTTCATAAAACTAAAATAAAACAAATGATTATAAATAACTTTATAAAATCAATTAAAAATAGTAAAAGAAAACAAAATCAAATATAATCGATAGTTAAGCTTTTTGCTGTAGCGTGGCGCTAAAACCGTTTAGGACAGACTGTTGCCATTTTGGTGCACATCGATAAGAAAAACACGTAGTTTTTTTCTTATCGAACTATAAAAACTATAAAACTATATATTTCCCTGAGTTGAAACTATATATTTCCCTGTGTGTTAAAGATAAATATACTTATTCTTATTCATCCAAAAGGCATTTCAATTTAAAGGTTTTTAAATTGTAATACTAAAACATTTTATTATCAACTATTAATAATAATAATTCATTGTAAACATGATAACGAATTTTAGAATTTCAAACTTTGTATTATTATCTTTTAAATTAATATATCATAAACTTTATAAAAAAAAATCAGTACTTATCGGTAATTGGTTCTATGAAGACAAGTTTGCCAATTATTGATAAGTTTTGATTTTTTGTGATTAATTGGTATTGATTAATTGGTTTTAGTAATTGGTACTATGAAGAAAAGTTTGCCGCCGACCCGACTGCAATATTTGAAAAATATATATATTTAAAAAATTTGATTTCTCAGGAAAAATTTAACCGATTTTGCTAAAATTTTATATCTTGCCATTTAAAATCACATTCTTTAAAATGGTATCAAAAATTTTTAGTCCATACGATTCAAATTTCTTTCTTTTTAATTATTAAATAAAATTATTAAAAATAATTCATATTTATTGAAAGTTTTATTTTGCATGTTTTTATTGTTCTGCATTTTATAATTGTATGCAAAAAATTTTCGATTCGCATAAAAAGTTCTCGAGATAGAGCGAAATACACAAAAAGTAAAATTAGAATTAAAGGGCCCAAACTATTGGGACCATATTTCCCAGATTGTTTCAAACCCCGATAGTTTGGGGGTCAGAAATCCGGATCCACCGAAAAAAAGGTATGTTTATTCAGATAAAGTAAGTTTTTTTTGTCTGATTATTGTTCTACTAATTATTGATATGATCTGATTGATATTCTACTGAATCTGATTATTGTATCGTAACTATCTATTGCACTAATTAATTAAGCATATTTGAGGTCAATCGCTCGAGCCAATAAGATTGAGTCCAAAAGCATGAAGATCCAATCATTAGATAAAAAAGTTATTGGAGGTGGTCCATTTTTTATTTTGGGCACTGTTCATCTGCTACATCTACTAGTGTATTCTCATTTAAGGCCTTAGATCAATTTAGTCTTATATTTTGGGCCTAAAAATTAAGATAATAAATTTTTTTATAGCAAACATTATTTCCTTTAAGCTTAAAAAGTCAATTCCCACTTATTGACATCCATTTGATTGACGTAAGTCCGTAATAGTTATATATTCGTATTGGTGAATGAATGCTAAAAAAATTATATTCAACATTTTAGCGTACTCATTTACTTGGTTATTCTTATAGTTCCTGAACAGCGCCATTAAGCAAAATTATTTTTTTTAAATTTATTTTTTACTCTATAATGTATTAAATTACTGTTTCATATTTGTGTATTCTTTTAACTTAAAAAAAATTTATTCCAGTTATAGTTCATCTCATCTTGACGAAAAATGACCCTTACAAATAAAATTCATAATTAAGCGCATAATTTGATTTTAACAAAGTGCACAGTTTGATTTTAACAGAGCTTCGAATTTATTTTAATTTTTTTAATATTGTAGCGGAACTACCACTACAAAAATACAATTCCAATTCACTAGTATATAAAACATGTTAACTCGATTCTATGTTGGGGTATCTTTTCATAGATGGATGTTGACATTGTCGATAACTCCTCTCCCCGATAATTTCCCCGGACGAGATGTAAACACGCCAACCTTGACAGAAACTCCCACATCTATTTGAACCCGCATACTTCGATGAGTAGTCTACATTGAAAAGTTGACTTGCTGCTTGTGACTGCGACATTATCCACCTCCTTGCGCTGTTACTACTCAGTCTCGATCACACACAACGTCGACCTGTATACACTCGACTGCTAATGGCAATACAGGAGCGGCCGCGAACTTTAATACGGCACTCAAAAGTACGGACATCTTAATACAGCTCTCCCGGCTTCTCACAAAACAGCGATGAATCAACTAGTGGTATCGGTTCATCTAATTCTATCAGAGAGCATCAGAAGAGTACTGTAGCGTATCTACCACTACAAAAATACAATTCCATTTCACTAGCATATAAAACATGTTAACTCAATTCTATGTTGGGGTACTTTTTCACAGATGGATACATTTTCGATAACTCCTCTCCCCACAAATATGTTAGCATGCGTTTGATCAATTTAATAACAAAGTAACCACGAAACCATACGAACCACTGATCGCTGAATATTGCGGGATTGCTGATACGGGGCAAACCTACTTACGTGTATGTCAAAAATTACAAAATTAAAATGACCTCAAATAAAACTCGAATCAAAGGAATTCAATGAATCAATAGGACTGCGAATCAAATAATTAAGAAAACTCTGCTATTACGTTTCATAAAAAGGAAGTTTAATTTACTCGACAACAAAATCACAGCATCGCCATTCCAAAGAAAAAATCCATATACCTTTGCCATATGCCTATACTGAATAAATTATGTTACAAAAAAATTCGGTGCTCATAAACACAGATCTTACACTCTACCAACTTACTACCTACTTTGTACTTACTAAACGTCAGAAGTGAAGCCTGACAAATTCGCTAACTAATCCCAAGGTTAGGCGTTTTTCTTACTTATAAAAAAAATGTCAATGGTCCTGATAGCCCCCTTAAAATATTATATTAAAATTGCCGAATCATTTTAATTTAATTTATTCCGGTTTTCAGTTCATTATTTTTATGAAAATCCGGAATATTTACACTGTTAAAATTCTGGTTAATTTTTATTATAAGAAACAAATAATATATNCCTGAAGCGGTGACGTACACAGAAGCACCATAAAGAAAAGAGACCGTAGGTGAAAAATCGCTATACTAATACATTGAAAAAATTATATGGTACATGGGCCAAAGTAAGTGTTCAAAGTTTCTGCCACCGGCTACAATGTACACCTCAAATCTCCGGGGCATGGACATTCGAGCATTCTTCAATACTCCAGGCATATCTCGCAGGCAGCTACTGCGACTCTTGCGACCAGCGTTATCAACAGGCGTGTCATAAACCAGTGTTTTCATATGACTCCAGAAATCAAGACATGATAGGCCGGGAGACCGAGGAGGCCATATAATTTTTTCAATGTATTATTATAGCGATTTTTCACCTACGGTCTCCTTTCTTTATGGTGCTTCTGTGTACGTCACCGCTTCAGGAAAGCATTTCCGACCCCACATTGCTATATGATTTCGAGTCGTCAGGATGCCCCCTACCCCTCTTAGAAGTTCTGAAACGCTTAACTGAGACACCCTGTATATAAATATATTATTTACATACTAGTTCTCTATCGCTCTACTATTAGTAAATTGAATACTACGGTGGTCAGTACTCGCGACTTCGTGGTTTCAGTTGGCACTTATTTATGTATAACGTATATGTTTGTTATGAATGTATTTCTTTCGCCGAACATTATGTTATTTTATTTTTATTGTTTTGATTTTATTTATTCTTTTTCAGTTTTACTTTTCTGTCTATTCAATGTAATGAAATCTCAGGAAGAATCTACAGGCCTTCCTACGGTAACAGTGAGAGGCTTTCTAAATTTTAAAACGACAGTCGATGGAACAGTGATTGTCTTCACTCCCGTATCGGAGATGCATCCGCCGTCGCCTGTAAAGATGCATCCTCCGTCAACTACCTCCGCACCCTCCATGAATAACGAAGGTCTGGATGAAGACGTGTCGTTTGCATCACCTCCTCAGAATTCCATCGAACCTCTGAAAACGCACAGTCCCAGCGAAAACGTTCTGGAAAACAAAATGGAAGAATCCTTTCTACCTCACATATCCGATAACGCAGTCTTACCACCCCCTCCTCATAACGATAAAATTAAATCTAAATCTTCATCGAATCAATTTCCTACCGGATTAGTGACTGTCCTAGGGAGTACATCTGTTGACGGTAGCTCAACAGCTGTTCACGAAACTAAAGTGATTGGCACATACATCGATGGAAAGTACGCCCAAATACTTCAGAGTACATCCCGCGTGCTTCTCGAATCCGAGTTGAAGACCCCACACATGGTGAGCTATTCTACAATCGATCGAAGTTACAGTACTTGGCCAGTTTCAATAATGAATGACGTATCTTCAGACGATAGGGCAGTTTCTTTGTCAACAAACACTGATCCCACATCATTTTCAGTAAAACCTACTACTGATCCCATATCATTTTCAATAAAAGGTACTACTGATTCCACATCATTTACTGTAAAAGGTACTCCATCTACTGATGAATCCACTGTTTCATCGTCGATTGTTCTCGTGACTTCATCATTCGAAATGACACCGTTGACGACTGCTACGACTCAGTCCACGAAGGTTTCTGACCCAAAGACAATCAGCGTCCCGCTCTCCCCGACGGTTTCAAAGGAAAAGACATTCGACGTCCCGCTCTCCCCGACGCTCACCTTGTCACAGCAGGAAAGCCTATCATCAAGTACAGGTCCATCTAAAACTTTGATTTCATCATCCAAAGTCAAAAATACACCAGAACTTGAGTCTTCAGTCTTGTTGCGCTCGTCGTTCGACATCGTGTATTCTTCCTCTGTAGCAACGACGGAAACTTTGGAGACAGCAAAGAAGACGACCCCTTCGCTGCCACCTGTTGCTTCTATCACTTTCTCTGAAGATGATAATATGGTTCCAACAGTCATAAAAAGTTACAGAAATAGTAGTACTACCTCAAGAACGAGATTTCCATCATTTCGAAGACCCTCTCAGACGGTAAGTCATACAAAATGTATGGATGGTTTTATATTTTATTTTATAAACGTCGTTGAACAGCCGACCCAATTTTTGGGATTACGCCGATGTTCAACTCCGTAGCCTTGTCATTTTGAACCAAACCAGAAGATAAAGAAACTCCTGAATCAGAACCCTCAGACGTATGATTTGTTATGGGAACATGGAGGACTTTGTGACCCCGACAGATTCAACGTGCATCAATCACCATTTACTGCACGGAGAGTCTACGACCGGCCTGGGATCGAACCCACGAACTCTTGGACATGGGCCCAGTGCCCTACCAACCAAGCTATCCGGTCCCATCTATGGATGGTTAATCGTGTAGAGCTAAGCACAGATGGCGCTAGGGGTCAAAATTCGTCGTAAGACTTCTGGGTTACTACTTCCGATTTATTTTTACGCCTAAACTTAAAAAAGGGTGCCATCCAATATTATAATACTTGCAGTGTTTACAATATAACTCATTTTTTTTAAACTTAAATTTCAACGAAACAAACAACAAAGGAATTCGGATGACTCCGCAAGCTGGCTATAATGTTACCCAAAAGCTAGCAAACGGTGCTATTTTACACAAAAAAAGCAAAATTGGAAATAACACTCAAAACATGGTTAACCTTACGTTTTATTTATGATGTGATATTTATTTTATTAAATTTATTTTAGGCTCATAACCAGTTTAAATGTATAAATTACCGGAAGCTCTTATGAAAGGTAAAATTACGCTTCAATTTAAACATACATCACATTAGTAAAACTGAAAAGTCTGGAGAATTCCTAGAAAAGTTTGTTCACACATCGTCTCGCAACAGAGCCGGATTATGCCTTTCGTAGGCCCTAGGCACAGTCGTTTTTGGGCCCTCCCCTCCTTCCCCCCTCCTCCCCTCTTTTCAAAATATATGCTAAAATTTTCTTGCATATTTTTTTTTACATTTTAGTAATATGGATTTTAATTTACAAATTTGTTTATCGAACTTTATCTGCAATACCGGCATACTGCCGATATTGCAGCTGATATCGATAATACCATTATGATTAGTTCGATCGATAACTATGTAAACACTTCACGTCAACAATACAACAACAAATCAGCAAAGAAAACAGTGAAATTGATAGTGAGATTAATTACAAGAAATATTTATACTACAAATAGCTTCATAGTTTTCATGATACTACTATGATAACTAAGTGAAGGAAATTAACATTGTCAAAAGTTAATCTTTTGAAATTATTGATAAATAAATTTGCAAGGTAGGTTAAATGTTTACTAATAGAAAAANCCTAGACCGATAATCACCCCTTTTAACCACAAATTGAAGCAGAAGGGGGAAAGCATACCTTTTGTCCGACCCTCGACACTTTTGGTAGCATCTTTCTAAAATGTGTCTGCCGCTTGAAGTAAGAAACTAAGAGAGAGGGGAAAATAATTTATTACCAAAAAATATTATATTTTTATTTGTATCTTCATAATTTTGTGCAAAATACACTTATTGTTTTTAAGGCTAAATTATTTTTGTCAACAAATTTTTTCTCCCAAGTTTTTCGTTGGCCCCTGAATTTCGTAGGCCCTAGGCACGTGCCTAGTTTGCCTATAGGTTAATCCGGCCCTGTCTCGTAAGCATAAAAGCATAACATAAGCGGAGGGATACACCGGAAGTTATCTAAATTTCTTCTTGTTTTAGGAAGCTTGTTATTGTTTACATTCAGTTAACCATCCATACATTGGAATTTTTTTTTGTATCTTCTTCTTCTACTAATATTCTTTTGCCATTACATCTTTTTCCTCTACTTCCTTCTTTTTTTTAGTGCAATTGCAGGGTTTCAGCAGTCTTTAAAAAGTTTTAGAAATTGTAGTAAATTTCCAGTTAATGCTAGAAGACAATTTTTATTTTAATATACCACTTTATCGTTAAGCGGTTTAGAAGCTGGAAGTTTCATGCACTTTCTTTGGGAAAAATTTCTTAATGGTGATAACAAAGAAATTAAAATATAGACATATGTTTTATTTTCGCTATAGCTTTTCAAATTTTTCAAGTCCCGCGAGAACCCAGATTCGAAGAGTTTGAAGACTAAAATTCAAATTGTAAAGGAGAAAGGAAAAAAAATTATTCCTAAAATGAATTTTGTGAAAAACACTCATCATGTTAGAAATAGGATGCATTGCGCTGTTATTGGGTTGAAATTTCGGAAATGTAAAATACCTATAAAACACTTCTGGTTGAAATGTAAAATACCCATCTGAAAACAATACAAGCAACAATTTGTTGTAAAAATGCCACTTTCGAGAAAAGTTGGGCTAATTTTTTATATAGGCTCCTCATCGATGCTACGATACCTTTAATTAATAATTAATTGAATGATCCATTAGCATGCATTTCAATTAAAAAAAAAACAGATTTTTAACAGCATTAAGTAAGCTGATTGTTATTGAGTACTTTATTTTGTGCAATGGCCCATAAAGGAAACGAACAAATCAATACTTTATTTTAGGCAAGATTCATCAGGTGTTTTAAAAGAATTAGATGAATTACTCTGTCGATGAATGCATTACCTATGTCAAAATTTAAAACCTTCTCTTAGAGAAAAACTAAGAAATAGACTTGACTTGTTGATCTAAATTTAAAAAAATCAATCGTTTATTTTCTTATAACTTTATTTAAACAATAATATTTTGTCAATGTAGTTGTTATGTAATTTCTTCTCTAGAATTCTCATAGTTATTGCTCTATGACGTGATGTATATGCGCTATAAATCAATTTACGTTATGGTTAGTTCAATTACGTTTCGACTTAAGTTAAAGGAAAGGAATAATGAATTGTAACTCTTCTTCAGTTTTTATATAAAAAAACGATTAAATCTCAAAATTACCTAAGCCCTAAACTTGAAACAAATTACCAATCTCTGCTTGTTTTGTCGATCACTGGTCTAGTGGTTACTGTACTTGACTACGGGACCAGTGGATGTGGGTTCGAATCCCACTGTAGCATGGATGTAACTTTCTCTCTCTGTGTTCGATATCCTTTCTTTTGTGTGAATGTAACCCGTCCTATAAACAGGTTTGTGATTGTGTGGCGTGGATGATGCTACTCCACCGCCGTTGGTTAGCCACAGGTGCCCACTGGGCAATGATAAGAGAGTAGCGATTCTGACCTTTCTGAGTCCAATGGGAAATAGATTCAAGTGACCTCCATTAAAAAAAAATCTTCGCTCGTTTTAACCTGTAACTGCAGGTTATGCTGGGTGTTTAACACACCACTTTTAACACATACTTTTTGAAAATTCTTGTCAAAAAATAATACTTATTAGGCGACGCAAGCTAATATTGAAACAAAGAAGGAACTAAAACTCTATCAAAATCTATCAAATCACTTAGTGAACAGGACAGGATGAAAACTCGTGAGAGTGAGTAATATTTCTTATTCCCAATAAAACCCAGTTTTATTGCCTAATGAACCTTGAATGCGTTTCTAATCATCACATTCAAGCTCCTCTTTTTTTCTATGGCAATAAAACACGCTTTGATATCTTAAATTATGCTTTCCTCAATAGCAATTTGTTAGATTCAGTTTGAGATTTGGGGTGGTTGTTCACTTAAACGTTTATTTGCACTCCAGAAAGTATATGCTTGACTTCAGTTTTTGTTCAGAAATATTAAAAGAGGGGTATTTAGGGATATACCTACTACATGGTATGAAATTCATTTAGTGTATAGTTGATATCATTTCCGACGCATCTCCATGCGTCACAATGATCACCTATATTGATATATATGCAGGGTTCAAGCTAAGGATTTCAAATTATTAATTAGTAAATTAGCCAAATATCAAAAGTATTCGCCACTTTTCGAAAATCTTCGCCAAATGTAAATCTTAACCAATCCAAATCTTTTTATGATTAATTTTTTCCCACAGAAAACTATTTTTAACCGTAGTTTGTTATAGACTTACATTATTTGGACCCAATTCTAATTAATTATGCGGCGTATCTACCGAAAATTACTATAATCGAATAAAAAATAATGATTTGTTTAGAAAAATTCATTTTGACGTAATTTTGAGGATCTAATTAAATTTAGTTTTAAAAAAAATCATTCGCCAATTTATTATAATAATTACAATAAATATTTCGCCAATTTATTATAATAATTACAATAAATATTTCGCCAATTTTATTCGTATAATTTACGATTTTATCGCATTTGGCGAGGTGGCGAATTCTTAGCTAGGACCCTGCATAAATTAGGGATATCTAAATCCCTCTAAAACGAAATTTTGTTTCAGAGCTTCATTTTAAATATTCAACTTTTCCTTTAAATACTGTAACATGTATAATTACGAGTTATTAAGTGATTGTGAAGAATCATAATTACAATAACATTGTATAGTGTAGAAATGTCGATTACAGGGATTTTCGGGTAGTATCGCCGAAAAATACTTACATCAAATTAATCCAATATTCTGGTTCGGAGAATAGAGCATTCGCTTCCCAATGAGGTGATCCGGTTCGAATCTAAGTGAAGGCTGTTCGATACGAATTCTGTTTCCGATTTACGCAGACTACAGTGATGACGCAAGGTAGTAGGCGCGGAGCATGAGCTAAAAGTCCCTTGCTGTCGGGCTAACCCGGGGAGATTTCCGAGGTTTTCCTCCTTATGTAACGGAAATATGAGCTTGTTCCATCAAATGTCTTCAATGAGGGCTAGTTTGTCTTTGAGCAGAAGGACTCATTGTCTTCTGAGTTGGGTTCTAAACGACAAGTCTACGTAGTTGAACGGTGATAGCCGTTAACTCAAAATTGGAGCGGCTGTTCAACGCTCGTTATGAAATTAAGTATAGAATAAAATGTGCGTGATAGTTTCGAAAATATAAATATTGAAAATCATTCATTTGAACTTATCCTATATAATTTATTTTATAACCGTCGTTGTACAGCCGACTAAATTTTTCGAATTTGCGACTACTATTGTTCAACTCCGTAGGCTTGTAATTTTGAACCTAATCCAGAAGACAAGGGAACTCCTGCATCAAGTATAGGGAGAAATTTGCCTTCGTGGAGGATTTTTTGATGGAACTAGCCTGCATTTGCGCTACACAGAGAGGAAGACTACGAAAATCTCCCACAGTTTGCCTGATGGCAAGTGGATTCTAACCCACGATTGGTCTACAGCTGAGGATATTTCAGGTCACCACTGTGGTAGGTGCGAGCCGGATGCGGAATTCGTATCGACTAGCCATCGTTCGGATTCAAATAAAACTGTGAAAGTTGTGAATTACTCGTTATTACGCTTGTTTTATTTTAGTCTTAGATTAAATTATTACTTTTGCTGTCAATGGTTGCTTTTAGTTTTAACAACTATAGTTGAATTGGTCCTCACAGTGACAAGTAAAGGATTGTTTTACCCAACTTTCGTCATAACTCTCATTATAAGTCGGAAATATAATTGTGCTATCAGTTAAAGTTATTTTTCCTTTTATTAAAATTTTTTTTTGCAATTTCAGGTCAGATTGAATCGATTCAAAGTTAAACTGAATCTCCGTCAGGACTCGCACGATGATGAAAGCTTTCCTGCAGACGACGAAGACCTCGATGAGGAACAGATCGAGATGGAATCAGAGAATGTCGCCCCCACCATCGATCCTGCCAAAGTAGTCTTCCAAGAGACCACCATCACCAGTCAAGTGACGCTACACGTTGGGCGCCGAAAGTCCATTCGTATTCTGACCATTACAACATCAGTTCCCCTGACCGTGCACCCGACAGATATCCAGGACATGACATCCCTGGAGGACGAAGAGAGTGATCCTTACCATCACGTTGAAACGCGAACCTTTACGTCGACCGAACGAGCCTTGAAGACATCCATCGTGCCTGTTTACGACGGCAAAACAACGTCCTACCACAAAGTGACGGAAAGCTTTTTCATCATGAAGTATATCACAGCGTACAGAACATTGCCGATTGGAGGAGAGGTGACGCTCCTGGAGAACGAGCAACCAGACGACACCACTTTAGATGCCGCCGCAGCTAATATACAACCCTCAGTGACTCAATCACCACCCGAGCAATTTTCAACCCAGCAACCGTCTGGCAACCCACCACTTTCGAATCCCTTCTTGTCTCTCGGTCATGCGCTGTCCAATAATCCACTGGCCGCTGTGTATTTAGGGCTGCAGCAACTGAATGCCCAAATGACTCTTTATTCAACCATTACTGACACGTCGACGTACGTCACAACCGAGACGTTTTACAACACAAAAACTGTTCGTTTCTACGACGGAAGAGCGAATAAGTTCCGCACTGTGTCTGAACCTACTTCTACGAAGAAAGTCACCATGACCACAACTGTTACGTCTTTACAACCGTATCTCAACACCCAAGCCTTGCAACAGCAACAACATTTGCAGCAATTTATTGCGCCCACGCGACAGGAACCCCAGTTTAACACCATTACCTCCACTTACACAACCGTCAGTACAGCTACAAGTCTCAGCACTCGCATTTATACCCTTATTTATAATGGCTTCAGCACTAAATTCAGAACTGTTACCAGTACATCAACCTATCCAACTACTGTTGTCGTAACCAGCACGACTAAAGTACCTTTGGTGGCAACGGCAGCTCCTTTTGCGTACCCGTATTCATCCTAGAAATACGTTGAGGTGATTGTGAGATAGCCATTCTTTACTAGAGACAAAAGTTTAACAATTCAGATTTGAATAATAATGGTGTCTTCTGTGTTATTTATCGTGTGAATAATGTAACGGAGAGAAGTTTTGGCTAAATGAACAGTAACCCTGTCTAACACTACAAAATCGTTCTGGTAAAAAAAAAAAACATCAGTTATATTTATCAGGAGAATGTATGAGGGTACGCCTCATTCTTCAAAGATAATTCATTTACGAGAAATACATTGCAGAACAACAATTTTGTGTTATTTTTTTATATTATTGCCTAACTTTTCCTTGTTGTTGCCTGGACGAGGGAGGTTTCAAAATCCTACCGAACGAGTTAGAATCATTGCATACCGAACTTCTTAGATACATTCGAGAAAATTCATTTTAGTTGAAATTTCGATGAAACTTGGATGGCTGATAACTTCTAATTTCTCTGAACTTTCAGCATCGTTGGCGAAAGTTGTTTGGCCTATATGGCGCAGAAAAGCGACCAAGTTGAAATGAAAAAAGAAAAAATTATTCTGCAAAAGCGGGTATTCAACTGCGTAGGGAGATTGTTTTTTCAAAATGAATTAATTACTAATTTTTTTCTGAGATTCTTTTTTTAAGAAACGATATGTTCTCACCTTTAGTCTACCAAACTTATCTACAAAATAACTTGTATCAGTTTATACAGAATGTAAAGAAATGTCAGTTTGTAAAGAATTATATCTTTCACTAAAATTTTTACTGATGACTAATATTTACAGTTATTTGTATTTGTACACAATCTAAAGAGGCTCATGTTATACACTGCTTAATTAACATAAAATAACTGATCGTTTGATATCGCATGTGCAGTGCGCAAAATAAAAAAAACGGATCACCCTGAATAACTTTTAATCTAATGATCGGATCTTCGCGTTTCAGGACTCATTCTTATTGGTTCGAGGGGGTGACCTCAGAAATGCTAAATAATTAGTGCAGACAATATTTTTGAATGCGAAATCAGACACAAAAACGTACTTTCTCGGAATAAACATACCTTTTTTCGACTGATTTCTGACCCCAAAATATAGATGCAATCTGGGAAATAGGGTCCTTATCATTTGGTAAGGAGAGCTTAGACCCCTTCATGTTAATTTTACTTTCGCGTATTTCATTATATCTCGAGAACTTTTTAAGCAAATTAAAAAAGGTTTGCACACAATTATAAAATTCATTTATCCAAAGATAATTCCATGCAAAAAAATAATTTCTAGTAAATATTTATTATTTAATTTAATATTAGTCGAAAATGTTTTGAATCGTAAAGTATACTGTTTTTTTTTACGACATTTTAAAGAATATAACTTTACATGGAAAATACAAAATTTGAGTGAAGTCGGTCGTATAGTTTCTGAGAAATTGAATTTCAACTGTGACTTTTTTAAAATTCGATTTCTCAGAAACCATTGAACAGATTTCGCTCAAATTTCGAATTTTGCCATTTAAAATTACATACTTTAAAATAATGTAATAAATTGTATACCTTACAGTTCAAAATTTTTCGACTGTTAAAAAATGAAATAATAAAACATTATAAATATTTACTAAAAGTTATTTTTTTCACGGAAATATCCTTAGACACACTAATTTTCTGATTGTGTGCAAACATTTTTTAATTCGCTTTAAAAGTTCTCGAGAAGGGGTGAAATACGCAAAAATTAACTTTAAGGGGTCCGAACTTTGGAGCGCCCTCCTGACCAAACTATTGGGACCGTATTTCCCAGATTGTGGCTACTCCCTGTATTTTTGGATCAAAAATCCGAATCCGCCTAAAATTATGTATTTTTATTCAGAGAAAGAACGTTTTTGTGTCTTATTTCGTAACTTAACATATCGCGTGCACTCATTAATTAGCATATTTGAAGTTGCCCCCTCAAGTCATTAAGATTGAGTCCTAAAACATGAAGATCCAGTCAATAGATCAAAAGTTATTCAGGGTGATCCTTTTTTCATTTTGCTCACGGTACATTAATATTCAAAAATGTACAGTGTGTAAAGAAACGAATAGCGTGAATACCTTTTGATTTAATGATAGGATTTACACATATTAGACTCAATCTTAGTTCAATCGATATGCTATTTAATTAAAGTAGACGGTTTTTAAGTTGCGATATCAGACAGTGAAACTTTTCTGGATAAACATTTTTTTTTAACGATGCGGATCCATGATCCTTAAAATGTAAGCGACAGTCACAATTTGGAAAATAGGATCCTAATAGTTTAGGTAGAAGAGCATTTGCAAGTTTGGAACCCTTTTAACATTTTCCATTTAGCATATTTTGCTGTATATCCAAAACTAATGAAAAGAAATAAACATTTTACGATTCATAAAAGATTAATAAACATGCTTATCTTAAAATGCAAAAATTAGTTATCTATTATTTTTTTGGTAATTTGTTTTTAATTAATTATTTTTCATTATTTTTTTAATTATACATTTGAGTAAATATCAAAAACATTTGACTAGTAAAGTATACGAATTTTCATATTTTCTCAAATGATAATTTTGCGTGAAAAAATTCAATATTTAAATAAAAATAGTCAAATAGATCATCAATGATAAAATTTTAAGAAGTCGTAAATTTAAAATTAGATTTCTCATGAACTATTCTATAGATTTCGTTTGAATATTGTATTTTGACCTTTAGAATCATGTAAAAAAACTTACCTTACAATACTAGATTATTTCAACTGTTATTGAAAAAAATAATTAATTATAAAATTTTGACTACATGAAATTATCTTTTCATAAACGAATTTCATGATTGCATGCGATTTTTTTTATTCTGAAGAATCTGTTAAGCTACAGAGAATACGCGAAAAGTGAAATTAACGTTAAAAAATCCAAACTTTCGGCGGATCTTCTGCCTAAATTTTAAAGATCTTTCTCCCTGAGGGTCAATAGTCCGGATCCATAGTATAAAACGTTTGTTTCTTCAGAAAAAAATACGATTTTGTGTTTGATTTCGCAACTTTAGGTATCATCTGTATAAATTAGTTGGTATCTATTTAAAGTTAGCCCCTGAAACCATGAAGATTGAACCATTTTGCAACTATACAAAAATACTATAGTTTGTCTATGTAAAGAACTCCCCTAGATATTCGTCTGGAATAGTGGCGGTGACTATGGTTTAACTATTTCAAGTAGGGGTGTCGAGCCATTATTTGAGATAGGTTTTGGTTTGGGTAGGCGAAAAAGGGAATCGAAGAAGAAAGGAAGAAGCTCCCCTTTTTGAAATTCTCTGTTTCTTGTTTCCATAGCAGCAGACGGCCTTAGACTTTATGACGGGGGCGTTCTTCCTATGGACAAAGTATTCCATTTCCCATCCATTCCTTTGTGCTAGTAGAATAATAGAGTGATGACCTTGGATTGCCACATCTTCAGAGTATTTATACTATGAGGAACCATTTCATAAAATGAAAAACTGAATTATGAAGTTTTGGAAGCTGTTCAAAAAGAGCTGACAGTCTATACAAACCTGGTTCCTTACCTCTAAACTATTTACTAAACAAATTGTAGTGCGGCTTTCAGGAAAACTGCTTCAGACTAAAAGTCTGAGACGGACTGTCTCTATGGTAACAAGTAAGAGCCCATTTCTAATGGGGGTGCTAAGGAGGAATAAAGATGTCAATTGGTTTATTCAAACTGACCTATGGTATGATTAAGACAAAACTATTCACCACCCCACATCCCTATTTAAATTGACTTTTCCTCGTAACCATGGTACCCGCCATGACGCGAGACTGATGTCTGGAGGAGTTCTTCTGAAGGCCACACATTAATATAGAAACCAAACATGGAAAATATAGATATATTTTTTAGATATAATTGACAAATTTAGACGGCAGACAGTGGCCGCTCTTCGTTTATTTACCGGTCATGATTGCTTTACTGCCTATTTGTATTGCATAGGCCATCTTATTGCCTCTGTGTGTCAAAAGAACAAGCCTACTGACAAATATCACCTGCGTACTCCTTGGAGGTATATTTTTAATAAGATGCCTTCGGATCATCCTTAGGTATGTTTCCCAGACTGTCGCCAATAGCCCATTGACCAGCTCTAGTGCGACGTAAATAAAGTACCTACCTACTTACCATAGAGGTACAAAATCATGTAGATATTTAGAATCGAAATGAATTATGGTATTTCTAATGTTAACTAATGAATTTTTCGATGTTATTGATTTATTTTGTTTAAAGTTTTCTTATTACTATTCTTGCTATATTCTTATACGATTGAAAATGAAATAATAATAATTAAAAAAAACAAAGATTTGGAAGCAATCGAATGTTAGAGCGAACTGGGTAGCATTATTACAATGAGGTATATGTCACAGGCCTTTTATACCGCATGAAAATTAACTCATACAGTTTTATAAAAATTATTATGAATTATGTAATATGTATGCATTATTCTTAAAATATTTTTTTAATAAATACCAATTGAAAATGTCTTAAAATATTGTATCTCTGAATCTATATGCATCTAGATATCTTCAACTACAACTATATATATTTTGACAAATGTATCGTATAGTTCACCTTTTAGTTGAAATCGAATAATACAAACCAAATTTTATGCATTTTGGAGCAAACATCACAAGCTACAAGCTTAATATTAGTTTCAAATTGTAGATAAATTAATTAAGTAAAATACAGCAATTAACATATTTTTGTAACAACAAAATCAAATATTTTGAAAAAGCAGAAAAAAAAATAGCGATGTTTTTTTCGTATATACACAAACCTTTTGTGACATTAACTTTTGCTTTGTATACTTTCATTTAACCAGCATTAGGCATAAACCAATACATGTCTTCGTGGAGCTGGTATGAACATATCCACACTGATGAACACCTCCTAGAAGAAAGAAGGCTTCAGTCCTTCCATTTAGTAGGCTTCCATTTAGTAGTCAGAAGGCTTCCATTTAGTAGTCCGACATAATGAACAAAAACTGCGCAGTGGGTGAAAAATTGAAAGATATCACTATTTTCTAGCTATTAAGCTGCGCAGTAGTGGTAAATACGAAAAATGTCATTAATTTTGAACTACGACAGGGTCAAATTTCCTGTGTATGATAACCCACGCTGAGGCCTTCTCTCTTCTAGGTAGTACTGCACTGACCCCATTCAACTTCCAAGTTGAGAAATATGAATTGGTTACAAATGTAACACATTTGATGTTATAGGTTTTTAGAATTAGAATAACTATTGGTTTCAATATTAGGAAGAAAAAAATTTAGCACTTAACTCTTCTAATCTTCATTAGAAATAATCAGAAGGTAGCCACATATGTATCTAAATACATTTAAAAATTTCATTTTCATAATAAACAAACGAACGTTATGGAAAAGAATTTATAAAATTTGACTGATCATTGACTCATTTGGTCAATACAGATATTTCAATTTTACTTTATCATTAACAAGATCTGAAAGTATTTATGAGAAAATATAATTTAAAATGAATGCATTTGAAAAATTTGTGGCGAGACTCTCCTAACAAGAATAAAAATTCCCGTCGGCTTCGAACCAGCAATCTTTTGAACAAGAGATATATTTATATATCTGGTTCAGATATTGTACAAATATATAGTTAGCAATCTACTTTGTTTTGCTAACAAAGGAATGTGCTTGTAAAACATGCTTACGCAATATTTAGGCAATTATTTGAATGAGAACAAATTCAATTAAAATAAGTAAAGACTGATAAA